CAGAGCATCTGGTGGATTTTCTTTATTTTTTTCCACCTTAATTTTTATCTCCTCTCAGTACACCATGAGATAAAGTCAGATTTCACAAAGGTCCTAAAATAACCCAGGTCTTATTATTCCTAGTATTAGAGATGAATAAACAGCACTGAGTACAGCCTGATTGTTAAAAAGTAAGATTTTTTTTGTCTTAATCTGTTCATAGCAAAAAAAAAAAAAAAGGAGATAATAAAGAAGAAACTGTACTGAAGCAATGGTGTAAATTGTGGGTGTTGGCTTGTCTACTAAGACTTGCTAAACCTGGATTATTCATTGTGGTTGGAAAATAGCTTTCTACTTGTTTTCTCCCCACAATTCCTTTTGGGCAAAAAACATCACACTTAGAAACACTTATATCTCAGCACATATCATCCATAAAGTGACTTTCTTCGCTTGATGGACCAGTAAGCTTCTGTCAGCCTATCTGGATGTATTTATTATTATAAAGCAAATGATAACTTGCAATAGAAATGGAAGACAATATTATCATTGCTTCTTGAAACTCACCATCTTTAAATCAATCAAGTCTTGAAGAATGGTAAATAAGTACTAACGCTTTCCTTCATTACTTTTATTTTTGTTAGTTTTAATGTTCTGACATCTAATGTCGAAACATCTGTTATTGCTGTCTTTATGTGCAACTATCCTCTTCGTAATGCTTCTGACTGGCTCACAGTAGAAGAAAAAGTTATATATCTTTAACTGTGTTCTACCTACCAAAGGAAAGCACTTTTATTCTTCAAGTGAATCGGAAGAGGAAGAAGAATCCCACAAGAAATTTAATATCAAGATAAAGCCATTGCAATCAAAAGACATTCTCAAGAATGCTGCAACCGTAGATGAACTGAAGGCATCAATAGGCAACATTGCTCTCTCTCCATCACCAGTGGTGAGTAGTTGCTTAAGTTAAGCTTTGGGGTGGTTGAGCAGAAGGCTCTGTTCTTGCCAGGGTGACCAAGTAGGTCAGAAACTTCTTAAACTAAAGGCTGTATGTGGTCACCATTTCATGAACTCTGTAATCTTTAAAGAGTACATTCTAGCTTTCAAAAATTATATGCATGTTATTGCTGCGGTTCTTAAGATGGCGAAAATGATTGAAACATGTGGGACTTTATTTCCTTTTGATTTTTTTCCTACGAATATTCAAATAGAAGGAAAGAATGACAAAAAGTTAATCAGAACTTACTTCTAAAGCTAATTTAGCCATGACAAACTGTATGAAGTTCTTACATTTACCAGCAGTTATTTTTGCAAAAAGGCATATCCCATTTGAAAAACAATGTATGCGATCTTTGTAAGCAAACTAATATATTTTTTTAAAAAACAAACATATTAAAAAAAACAACAACAAAAAATACATAGGCAGTAAACCAAATAATCACTTCCCTTAATATATTTTTAAAAAAGCTTTTTTTGCTGTGATTTGAAAAGAAGTATTTTCTCTAAAGAATATCATAACCACTGGTATATATTTTATTGCCACATTATCTTAAAAGTATTCACCCTTAATAAACCTTATAGGTCCAAGTATCATTTGTTTATATTAATTCAAGTATTTGTTTATATTAATTCAAGTAGGTTTTTTCCACAATTTGTACTTTCTCCTCCAATTCCCATCTATTAAATTAAATTGCTAAATTCTGAGCTCCAAAATTTACAGTATTTTCTCTGTGGTGTTTGGTAAATGTCACTATTGTTCTCTTAAAAATAGCTTTGAAGAGCACATAAAAACTTTCAAACTAGCGGCTACTGTATTTCTGGCATAATCTTTAAAGCTTCTCCCTAAAGATTCCCCCTAGACAAGATCAGTAGACAGAGTTGTTAATAAATGTGGAATAGTTTTGAGATGTTTCTGGAAATATCTCAGCTAGCCTACCTAAAGGAATTGCAATTATTCATCCTTTGAAAATAAGTTTGTGCTTTCCTAGGGGTGAATGAAGTTTGTGACACCTTTTTTTATAGCTTGCTGCTTATAACGACCTTTACAGCTATTACTGACAAGCATTAAAATGATTGCTCATGATAAACAATTAGAGAAAAAGGCCATTTCAAAGTTAACTTTTAATCATATCGTCATAACTTCTTTGTGAAATATAATAGTTTTCTTTTCCCTTTACAGTGGAAAGTATAGATTATAAGTTCACATACTGGTCTGTGATAGCAATGATTTCTGGTAATGGGGATGTTTTATTTTCTTTTTTAGGAGTTTTATTGTGTTTTTGTGACGTCTTACACAATAGGTTCCTGTTAAATAATTTCTACACAAAATATTGGCTACTTTCCTTACAATGTGTGAATATTCTGAGTGTTTCCATTCTGTTTGTTTTGATTGGAAAACTTTTAAGTGTATACACTTCCATTTTTAAGTTGGCTTCCTTCACATTCTTTTTTCTTACCAAATGTTTTTGTAGGAATTAAAATATCTACCTAAATGCTTGAAAGCAGTTTATATCTGTTTCTCTGTAGCATAGAATAAACTGAGGGGGCATTAAAAAAAAGCTACCTGGGATAAGTGGGATCAAAAAAGAAAAGTTCACTGGATTAAACTGAAAAATTTATGTGAAAGTAAATAATCCAAGGTGCATAGTAGATATTTGTTGTAGATTGAGCTGGGGAGGAAAAGCTACTCTGAAAAAAAAAAAAGCATCTACTGATGCCAAACATCAGGTAGTTAAAAGGCCTACCAGGTAAATTAGTGAGGGCCGAGTAAGTAAAGGGAGAGGTAGCCTTCCTGGAGCTTTGCAAAACAACTGCTTTTTAAGGAAATAATGTTACCATGATGAAAAGATATTCTGAGAAGGAGGATGAAGAGGTAAAAAAAATAATCATAGGATTTGGATTCGCCTCGTTCTGCAAGCAGCAGCACCACAAACTGGAATCCTCCTTCCTCTTCTCCCTATTCTCTGCATCCCCAGCTTCCCCTTTGACATGAAAATGTAGTGCCACCATTTCTACGATTCCCAAATATCCATGATCTTTAATATTTAGTGCAAGTGAGCTATTGTTACTACTTTAGGCAATAGTGAGCTCCCCTTTGGATGTACATGAGTGATATGAAAGCTTGGTCTGCTTTATAATTCTTGCTCTCTTCTAGACAAAACCCAAGACATACATGTATTTTATAAATTACATGAGTAATGTTTAGTTCCCAGGAGAAGTAGAACCTTTAAAACTTCTAGTTATGCCATGCAAGAATGGCAAATAGTTTGTACAATTTTACATGTTGTTGTTGTTGATTGCCTTCAAGCTGAGCATGACTCATAGAGCCCCAATGAACCAGAGGCCCTAAGCCCCTCTATAGCTATCGACATTTATCGAAGTTCATGTAGTTTCCAGAGGCATTTCATTTAGGAAGTGGATGCCACTTCATATTGTTATGCATGTGTACATCCAAAGTTTCTTCAGATGCTAAAATAAAAATGGAATATTTATAAATTACTGATAAATCATAAGACTTCATGTAGGCTATGGGGGGTTTTGGTTAGAAAAGCATCAAAAAGTTGAATGGATAGTAATAGAGGAAATTTGCATTTATAAACTATTCAAAGCAATCGTTTACATTAGATCTCTGATTCCTACTTCAGAAGGTCAGCAAAAGAGAGGAGGATCCTCAACAGGATGAATTGGCAGGTGACTGTAGCAGTGGGCATGTCTGAGATTGTGAGGGTGGCACAGACGAGGGCAAAGATTCAATCTGCTGGGCATGGGGTCATTATGAGTTGTAGTTAACTCGACAGCACCCACAAATAACAACACTTCACTTGAAGTGTTTAGGATAAGTTTATACTCCATTTGTTCTTTCATCCATTTGTGAAGGAATACTAGTGAATTGTCCTTTAGTTGATCTATTTTATTTTGACTTGCTGTTGTTTAAAACGTGGATAGTTCACCTGTTATCAAAGTATTCAGTACATAAGTAAAACAAATAAAAAATAAGAAGGAAACCTAGATGGATACAATAGAAAATTGTCCAAAACAAAACAAAAGAACAAGCAGGTGTGTCTTGGGAAGTGTGGAGCCAGAATGCTGCTTGTAAGCAAAGATGGCAAAGCTTTGTCTCACAGAGTGCGGGCGTGTTGTTAGAAAAGGCTCTTCCTTTGGAAGGGACACCAGTTTGGTAAGGTGGAGGGTCAACAAGATGGACTGACGCAGTGACTGCAGCAGGGGACTCACACTGTCAGAGATGATGAGGATGGCACACAACAGAACAGGGCTCTGAGCTGTTGTTCATAGGGTAACTATGGTTTGTTCTCGAATCGATGGCACATAACAAGAAGCTTCAACAACATGAAAACTGAGGCTTTAACTTTCTGGAAAGAAATCTAGTATATGTTGTTAAATACTGTACAGTAGACTATTACTGATAATGGCACTGTGAACAAGATAGTCTGAACTTGCCCCTCTCCTGAACCCTCTGCAATTTCTGTCACGCTCAAGCCCTTTGTGGTACTCACTGTGTCATTCTACTTCCTTGAGTGTCGTCGTCTTTGATGTCTTTCTCCAAAGACTGGTTCTTTCTGAAGACAGGTCTAAGATAGACAAAATTTCACTGTCCTTGCCTCTATGGAGCACGCTGTTTGCACATCCTTTAAGACATACTTGTTTGTTCTTTTGGAAGTCCAAGGGATATTCCATACTCTCCACCAGCACCACAATTCAAAGGGATTCAATCAATTTCTGTCATTCTTATTCCTTATCTAACTTTCAGATGCATCAGAAACAATTGAAAATGCCCTGGCATGGATAAGGTGCACCTTAGTCTTTAAACTGACATACTTGCTCAGAACTTTGGAGAGGTCCTTGACAGAAAATTTCCACAGTGAAATAACATCTATTGGCTGTATTTCCATGGGTTTTAATTGTAGATCCAAGTAAAATTAAATTTTTTACAACTTCAAACTTTTCCCCGCCTCTATCATGATTTTGCCTGTTGGTCCAGTATGAAGACTTTTTTTTTATGTTATTAAAGTGCAATCCATATTGAAGGGTATAATTGTTGATCTTCTGCTGTAAGTGCTTTACATTTCCACTTTTGCACATATAGTTGTGTCATCTGCATAACACAGATTGATGATAAATCTTCATCCAATTATGATGCCACATTCTTTTATATGTGGTTGTTAACATGCCATCAAGTCGCTTGCAACTCATAGCAACCCTATGTACAACAGGTCTGAACTCTGTTCTATTCTGAGTCAATCTCATTGTCTTTGACCCACCCAGCCCAATACCCTAGTCGCTGAGTCAAACCATCTCATCCTCTCTTAAGCTGTCCCTCCATCCTCCCAAGCATGATGTCCCTTTCCAAGGATTGGTCCCTCCTTGCAACATGCCCAAAGCAGAAAGTTTTATAATGATTGGCCCAGTCTTCAGATGGAGAAACTATTTAGAAAGAATTCAACTTTGACACACACTTTTCCTGATTTTCAACCACACAGTGTCCTCTTGTTCTGTTCAAATAACTGTGTCTTCGAGTGTATAGGGTTCATGTGAGCACACTTAATTTTCTGGGACTCCTATTCTTCTCAATGTTAGCCTTAATTTGTTATGATCCACACAGTCAAATGTCTTTACATAATCAATAGTTCACAAGTAAACATCTTTATGGTATTCTCTGTTTCAGTCATGATCCTTTTGAGATCAGCAATGATACCCTTGTGCCATGGCCTGTTATGAATCCAGCTTAAATTTCCAGCAGTTCTCTGTTGAAGTACTGTTCTATTTTTAAGTAATGTTACACAAAATTGTTCTCACATGTAATACTAATGATATTTTTTTATAATGTCCATATTCTGTTGGGTCACCCTTTGTGGGCTAAGGGAACAATTAATGGATCTTTTACTGTCAGTTTGCCAGGTCACTGTCTTCCATTTTTCTTGGCAGGGACTA